CTACGGAAATCAGTAATATTAACTTCCCCCTTTCTTTTCTCTCCAACCCTTTCTTGCGGTTGTCGGTTAATATCTTGTTCCAGTATTTCAGCAGCATCAACTGCCGCCTGAAATATTGTCGGATTCCTGGATATCACATACTTTCGAAGATTTGCCTCCAATCCCCAKATATACTTTCTTACCTTACTATTTTCGGATATAATATAGGCTTCGGCAAACCTAGATTGTTCCATGAACACTTCAGTATACTGGCGAACTGACATATTTCCTTGCTCAAGACGAAGGAAGTCATCTTCCAATTTTCGAACTGCAGCTTCGGGACAATACTGCATCTTAAATTTTACCATAAATTCTTCCCAAACCATAGTTTTCAGAATATTCGGATCTGAACGAGACAGAACTTCCCACCAGTACAAAGCACTTGATCTCAAACGAGATACAGCAAACATAACTTTATCTTCTTCTGCACTTTTACTAATTTGCAGACTCAGCTCAATCTCCTTAAGCCAGCACATAGCTTTAATAGGATCACGTTCACCAGAAAATTTAGGAGGTTTACACGCAAGAAACATCTTGATATCTCCACCCTTTTGTTCTAAGGATGCAGTAATAGGTACAGATGTACCAGTTACCGGTGTACTAGCTCCGACTTCCTCTTGCTCATAATTTCTTTCCACATTTGGATCAGTTTGGTTTGTATGTTTCAACAAATTTACCAAACTCTCCTGAAATTTTCCCAGCTCAGCTGCCAACATATCTTGAGTAATATATTCAGGGTTGGAAACATTATGTCCACCCCTCGCTCTTCTTCAACCTCGGCCAGACATTGAACTTTCTTGAGCCAAAAATTCCTGTTCCCCACGAGTTTCTTGTCTAGTACCTCGACCTCTTCCTCGTCCTCTACTACGACTTCGTGTTTCTATTACATTTTCTAGATTCTCTTCTTGCGTAACATTCCTTCTTCCCCGACCTCTTCCATAGCCAGCAGAGGTCTTTTCTGATTGATTGGGATTATCTGCCATTTCTCAGTACGTAATCTTTTCTGTCACATTTAAACACACATGATTATTCTCATAATCATAACACATTTATCCTCATGCCCACTCATAACTCAAATTATATCAATCATATATAATCTACCTTTCTCATAATAGTTTCAGCWATAACATATTCTTATGTTCATAGACCCAGTGAAACCTATTATCTTAACTTTCCACACCTCTAGTTTAAGTCTAAGTATTTCGCAAATACCCAGATCCCTTAAAYTAAGGCTCTGATACCAACTGTAACAACCCTCATATTCCATATACATAAAATTCACATCATCATACTCATAATACTAAAATAATATCATTACAAAAATAGACTATCAAAATGTATCCTTAATACATAAACAAGTAAACTATTATCATCATTCAGACTTTTCCCTTGCCTTTATCTTTCAACATACGTTGATCTGTAAAACAGGTTAGTCCAACATCTGAGCGTTAGACCAAAAGGTCTAGTGAGTATATAATCTCATATAATAATATACATTCCAAACAATTAGTTTAGAATCAAACCTATTCCGAAACATATCATATTTATGTTTCTCGCGGTTACATCGCCATTACAATCTCATATCTCTTTTTCACTCGCGGTTACACCGCCATTATATCTCTCTCGCGGTTACACCGCCATCTCACTCGTAGTTACACTGCCATTATATCCCTCTCACGGTTACACCGCCATCTCACTCACA